TTCACAAAGCTATTTTATTTTCTTTAAATTTAGATAGCTTAGTATAGAATTTCTTATTTTTTTTTTAATTCTAAGTTTTCTCTCAAAATTATAAAAAGTTTTTTAAACATTATTTTTTTCTTTAATAAACTTTCCTTTTTTTCGATTTCTTATTTAATAATTTTTAATTAATTTTAATTATTTTTATTCAGTTTTAATAATTCGAAAAATTATTTTATTTTCTTTCCTTAATTCTGATAAGAAATAATATTGCATTTATTTTTTATAACTTTCTATTTTTTTTAACAAAAAATTATTTTAATTTTATTAATTAAAAATACTTCACTTTTTGTAAATTAATTTAATATTTCAAAATATTTTTATTTTAAATATTTTTCTAATTTAAATTAAGCTGCATATTAAATGTATTTTTAATTTTTATTTTCGATAAATTAAACAAAACATTTTTATAATATTTTAACTCTTTTATTTATAATAAATAAATTTTTGCTATTCTTCCATACTGTCTTTTTTAAACTATATTTTTTCTATTTTTTTCAAATAAAATAAGTAAATAATTATATTATTCTAAATAAAAAAAATACCCAATTAATAAATATCTTTTTTAGAATTCTCTAATGATTTCTTTTCTTAAACTAATCTTCTTCATTAATTAGTTAAACAGCATTTTTCCAAATATTAACATATTTTTTCCAACTTTTGAAATGATAATAAAGAAGCCATTTTCTCTAATAAAAAAATATTTTAATTTTTTTTTAATAATTACTTAAAGTCCTTAAGCTAACTCTTCTTTTAAATAAACTATTTTGTCAAGTAGTTAGTTAAGGTTTTAATTATTTTGATTATTCTTCTAATTATTTTAATTGTTAGTTTAATTATAATTTTATTTATTATTTTATATACAAATTTAATTATTATCATAATTATTATTTTTATTATTATTTTAATTGTTTTTTTATTAAGTATAATTAATGTTTTCTTTATCCTCTTAAAACTTTAACATATTTTCATTAATTTCTCTTTATTGATTCAAATTTTTCAAATTGTTACTAGAATTAGATTTATTTAATTGCATATTTTGAGTCGAATATATGTTATCAAAAGATCTATTATTTAAAGAATTATCAGACCCAAAAGCATTTTTTTAATTAGAAAAAATACCAACTTAATTTTTTCCTACGGAAGATTATATTGGACTTTATAATTACTTTTTCTCATTGTATTATTAATTATTAAAATTATTAATTTGCGCATAATCCATTTGTTATTAAAAAGTATTACTTGAATTACTATTACAGGAAGTGTAATTAATGTTTAAATTATTATTTAGATTATCATTTATATTATTATTTTAATTTAATGGATTATCATTTATATTATTATATTATTTACTTTGTGCTTATTTTTCTTTTTAATTATATTTAAGTAAATTATTTTCTTAACTTATTAAAGGAGAATATGATTCTATAAATAAAACACCATTATTTCTTTCTTTTACTGTCATATAATTTTCATCTTTTACCTCTTCTTCTTAACTTTCTAAACTATCATCATCAAACTCTATATTAAAACATTGTTTTGTTGAGTATTTATTTATATTCCACTTTTTTTGTTAATTTTGGATGTTTTGTAGTTTTTTAGAATTTGTTAATAAATCAGTAAAATTATCTTATAACCTAGAAGCATGAATAATTATTTCATATAACTATAATGCAAAAGGATCATTATAATTTATTTTTTTAATTTCTTTTTATAATGTAAATAATTAATATATATATAATGTGTTTTTTACTGATATATTTATCATATGCTGTCAATATTTTGAAAACTGTTAAATTTGAATCTTTATTTTATACTAAATTGATTATTTCATGAAGTGCAAATTAAATATTGTTTTAAAAATTCATATTTAATTTTTTATTTAAAATTATAAAGAATATATAAAAAATATGATTAATAAAAATCAAATAAATTAATTTAAATTTTTTTAAAAATAAAAAAATAAATAATAAATAAAATTATTTATTAATTTTAAATATAGATTATTAATATAAAATAAATTAGCAAACTAATAGATTTTTATTTGTTAATATAAAAAACAATAATTTATTAAAAAAAATAAAAACAACAACAATAAATATGAACATTCAAAAAGTGAATTAAAATAAATAACTTAATACAAACAAAACCTTATTAGAAATAATATAAATATACCAATCTGACCCATTAGAGTAATAATTATTAGAATATTTAAAATAATAAACTTTGAAAGAAATAGAATTTAAATATAGTTAATCATAAATAAACAAAGGATATGTTTTTCCAATAACTATAAAATAAAAAAATAAGAAAACTTAACAATTAAATTTAAACAATGAATCAGATTAAGAAGAGGAATATAGTTTCTAATTTCATGAAAATTAATTTTATGATCTTAATGAATAAAATAAAGTTGGGAAATAATAAAGAGAATATTTAACAGAAAAATAATTAAAATAAAATAATAATGATATAGAAAAACAATAAAAACTTATAATATAAAACATTTAATAATAATCGAAAACAATTTAAAAAAGTAATATATAAAAATAAAGTTTATAATAGAAAGTATTTTATGAAAATTTAAATTTAATTTAACAAAAATAAAACAACTAGAATTACTATAATAATCTTTCTTTATATTAAAATAGTTATTAATAATAGAAAAATAATTCAGCTCCGAAATAAAACAAATAATTAAACTATTCCTAATAAAATATGAAAACACTTAATTATAAATAAAAAGTAAATATTTTAAATAAAAACTAACTTTCTTATTAAAATAATTTATAAAATTAATAAATTCAATAGTCTAATATTCTTATTGAAAATAAAGCTAAATTAAATACAAATTCTAAAAAAAATGAAAAATACCTAAACTTATAATAAAAAAATATTTAAATAGAACTTAAATTAAGTAATAGTAAAAAAACAAATTAAAAAAACTCTGAATAATCGCTTAATTAATAATATATCATAAAATAAAATAAAAAATATTAAGATTTATTACAAACATAATCAACTAAAAATTAATTACCCGAATCTGAATATGTAAATACCTAAAAAATAATAAGAATTAACAGGTAAATTTCAAAGAATTCATTTTATTAATTAAATTAAAAAAAGAGCTTTAACAGAATAAATTGAAGATTTATAATACAAAAAATAAAATATGAGCACAAAAAATGAAAGTTCAATGATTTATTAAAATAGAAATAAATTAAAAACCGGTTTTCTTTAAAAAACTAATACTACTACTTCTAAGAAAAAAGAATAATAACTTAAATTATCTGATAATATTAAAGTAATTTAAAAAAATTCTAATAATTTATTATTAATGTAAAATTAATTAAATAAAAATAATATACAAAATTTATAAATTAATTCGATAAAATCAATTAATGACTTAAAGTATCATAATTTTTAGTAATAAGTATAAAATACTTACATTTTAATAAATAATTTGTAAAAATAAGAAAACTTTAAATAAAATAACGATTTAAGTTGTGAAAAATATATAAAAACTGGTGAAAGTGAAAATTTGTATTGTAACTTATATGAAAAGGGCAAGTATAAAAACAAGGCAATATAATAATGTTTAATATTAGATAATTCAGCTACAAATTATCAAAACAACTCTTTAAATAATTATAAAAAAAAAAAAAAAATATAATGTTAAAATAATTAAAATAATTCTAATATTGATTTTATAAAATTCGACAACTTTTATAGTGTTAATTCAAAAAAGTAAAATCTATAAAAGAATAAAATTAACTCTTAATATCAAATTAATATGGAAGATAATACGTAAAAATCATTTTAAAAAACTAATTATTAATAAAAAAAAGTTAAAAAAATTTTTTAAAATAAAATATCTTTAATTAATTCATTTTAATATTGAAAATAAATAAAAAAAATAATATTTATCAAATAAAAATTAAAAATATTATATGTGCCTTTATTATTATATTTTATATTCTTATAAATTAATTATATTTATTATATATTAATTTAATCTCTCTTTTTATATATATATTTAAATAATCTATACTTTTTTTATTTTTATATTAAAATATATCATTTTAATTTTCAATATATTTTATATGAAATAAATATTTATTATTATAATTGATATCAACAATTTTTTGATTTTAATATTCTTTTTTTTCTTTGAATTTTCAAAATAAATTATATATTTAATTTATGTTAATATATATTATATTTTAATATCTTATTAAATAATTTGTTAATTTTAATAAAATTATATTTGAAATAAAAAAATATTTATTTTTTATTTTATTATTCAATGATATAATAGATTTCTATTAATATGGAATAAGATTAAACTTATTAACATTAGCAAAGTGATTTATAGTTAAGTTATGATTATAATCATTAAGGAGCTCGTATGAGATAATAACTATTTAAAAAAGCTAATATAATAAACATTAATGATAAATATATAGATTTTTAAATAGATTAATTATCATTTGACGAAATATCAGTTAGAAGGCAAAACGAAATAAAAAAGTAATTTAAAAAAGATGCAAATTTCATTTAAAATTGTGACAAAGATAGCAAATTACATATATAAAAAAAAAAATCATCAATGGATATAAATAATAAATTACTTTAACCTATTTAATCTTAGTAATTGTAATACAAAGTATCTTTATAATAACCTCAACAATCTATTTTAAATAAAAATATTTTAAAACCAAATTAATAAAAAATACTTAATTAGTTTAATGTAGGCTTTTTAATTTCTAAATTTATTCGAAAAATAATTGCTAAATCAAGAATATTTATGTTTAGAAATATGAAATCACAAAGACTAAAATGCTTTAATGATTTAACATTTAATTTTTAAGATTATATTTAATAATAAAAAGAATTTTAAAATTCATCTGTATTATAATTATTATTCTATTATTTATTTAAAATTTTTTATTTTAAAATAGGAAAAAAGCACTATGTTTAAAAGGTTAAAAGAATTCATTCAAAGTATTTTTTTTTATATTTATTATATATTTTTTACAATATATATAATAAGATAACACTACAAAACATGGAATATTAGATTCAGTTAATATATATAAATATAAATATAAAAAAAAAAAATATATAAAAATATTGACATATATATATATATATAATAATATAAATATATATATATATTATATTTTATATATATATTATATAATTTAATAATATTTATATTTTATAAATAAAGGAATCAAATATTAAACTTATTTTTAGTTTAGTCGAATTTATTGTTATTTTATTTAATATCGTTATTTTGCCTTTAAGATTTTCCTTTGGGGATATATTAAAATCTAATTATTTATAAATTTTTGATTCTTTTACAATGTCAAACATTTTATTACAAATATATATAAAACTTAACACATCTTATTTTTCAAAAGGCGAAATTGTAAATATAAGATATTAAATATTTAAAAAATATTTAAAAACAACTATGATGTAATATATATTTAAATAAATAAAAAATAATACAATAAAAAAAGATTTGATATAATAATATTAGTATTTTATTTAGTTAGTATATTTTCATATAATTTAAATTATTTAAGCATAATATATTTATTAAAAATCTGTAAATTTTATGAAATTTACAGTTTTATTGAAAATAAATTTTAATTAAGAGATTAATTAAGTACTCTCTCAGATTCTCTTCAACTAATTTTTCTTGTTTTCTTTGTAGCACATTTATCTGGTTGTGCTTTTTACAAAATAGGGATTCTTGAAATGCAAAAAGGAAACATATCCTATTTGACTGATATTCATGCCTAAAATGATCCTTGGTAAGAAATCTATGTAACTTCCATATATTGGAGTATAGTAACAATGACTACATTGGGATATGGAGATATTATTCCTAAAAATACAAGTATTTTATATAAAATACATTATTTAAATAAAACTAAAAAAAGATGAAAAAATATTCGCTACTATGATGGCTTTAGTTAGTTGTGTAATATTTGCATTTACATTGAATTAAATAGGGACTATAATGTCAAATATTTATTAAAATTCAGCTTCTTTGAGAAAAAAGTTAGTTTTAATAAATAAATTCATGAAAAAAAGGTGTGTTAATAACCATTTGTAAAGATAAATTAGAAAATATATTGAATATCTACATAAAGAAAATAAAGAAGAATATAATATTGCATAATAACTTGTTGATAATCTTACTACTACTTTGAAAACTTCATTAAAAGAAGATGTTTATGGGAAAATATTAACTTCTTGTAATTTTTTTAATCTGAATTATTCAAAAAATTTTTTGAAAGAATTAGCTAATTTATTCAAAGAAGTTTAAATTAATCAAGAAGAATATGTTTTCTTAGAAAATGATCAATCGGAAAAACTTTATTATATCCTTTAAGGAAATATTGAAATTTCTATAAATATGTTTAATTAGTTACGGAAACCTTTAAAATACTTAAATGTAATTTAAAAATTAATTTTTTGTTATTAAAAAAAAAGAAAGGCAAAATTTTAGGAGAAAAAGAATTCTTTACTCAAAAAGGAAGAGAATTAGCCGCAAAAGCAATGATTATGTCAACTTTAGCATATATAGATTATTAAGATTTTATAGATCTATTAAAAAAATATCCACTAGATTACGAAACGTATATAATGATAAAAGATAGTTAGAATATATATAATAATTATGGAAGAGTAGATACTTAGTGCTTAAATTGTTAAGAATATTCTCATAGTTTAATAGATTGTCCTTATGTTTTTTATAAAAACGATAAAAATTTTATTATAAGAAAATAAATCTTTGAAAATAATAAAATATAAGAGTAGAGAGCAGATTATTAAAAAAATAGGAAAGAAAAATAAAATACTTATTTATTATAGAAAAGTTGTTGGATTGGAATTATTAAAATACATATGTATTTTGAACATTTAGAAAAATATTTTAATACAACTTCTTCAAATGAAAGTAGTAGGGATGAGTAAAGTTATTATGATGAAATTTTATCAGAAACTAATACCTCTTAAAGAATTAAGAAATAATAAATGTAAAGAGAATCAATAAATAAAGAAGATTTAGAAAAAATAATCCAAAATTAAAATCCTGCATTAAAATAATTATTTGGTGGATATAAAAAATCAGAAGAAGAGACATAAAAGCAAACTTCAAGTTCCAATTAAACAAATAAAAATAAACAATATGTAAATTAAAAAAGTAAATCTAAAAAAATAATAATAATAATTCAGATATTCATAATTTTTAAAAAGATAATAATAATTCAGATATTCGAAATTCCAAAAATAATAATAATAATTTAGATAATTAAAATTAGTTACCAGTCATTAACTAATAAATGTAAATAGATAATGGTAATATTATTTATCCTTTAATAATATTTAAACAAAACAAAAAATCACTTATTTATTTTTTAAAAATATATATATGTATATATATTTATATAAAAGCTACTTCAAATAATTAATAAAATACCTCAAATATACTCGGCATTCAAACATTTACTGCAATATAATAAGAATTTTCATAAGACCATTAAGAAGTTATTAATTAATAATTGACTAATTAGCAATAATAATAAGAATAAAGTAAAAAATCTACTTTAAAATAGTTATAATTTTTAAAATATAAAAAATAAAAAATAGTAAGAAATAAATCTGCTTCTATAGAAACATCAATAAAATTGCAAATAAGTAATTTAACTTTAGAAAATTAGATGTAAGCATAATCTTAAAAAAATCAATTGTCAAAAAGAATTACTTCAAAATAAAAAACTGATTTAGTATAATTATGTGAGGAATATATATAATCACATCCATCAGATTCTCTAAAACAACGCGTATAGAAATTTATTAATAGATAACAAAAACATGGAACTATAAAATTGCTACCAAAAAAATATAATCCTTAATCTTAAAAATATGTTAAATCTTAAAATTGTATTTCTCCTTAAAGCATACAAACAAAAAAATAAAATACTTAGAAAAATAATGATTAATAAGATATTTTGTCTTCGTTAAAATAAATTAAACTCTCTAACTAAGTAGCTTTTCCAGAATTTCTAAATTTTTAAAATAATTTTAATTGCGAAAAAAGTCTTAAAAAATTAACTTTTTAAGACAATAACACCACATAAGAGTTATAAAAAGTTAGAAATTAAACAAACAAAAAATTTTCTTAAAAAGAGATTAATCAATAAATGGAAATAATTTATTAATTAAGTAATAATTTGAGAGGTGTTATTACTAATAATATTGACTTTTTGACAGAAGAAAATATTAATTAAAATTAAGATGGAGATTATGATAATATAAATTAAAATAATGAATTTTTTATTTTGAAAGAATTTGATATAATGAAGAATTTCTAAAAATACTTTCCCTATAATAATTTTAAAATTATTTTTTTAAAAAAAATAAAGCCTTTATAAAATATGCATACAAAAAAATATAAATAAAGCAAATAAGGCATTATATGAAATTTTTAATAAATATTTTATGAAATATAATATAATTTTTTAATAGATATTTTATAATAACATATAAATTATGCTTTTTAATTTAATTCTGATTTTATATATAAAAAAAATATCTAAAAATATAAAAAAGAAAAATATCTAAAAATAAATAATAAAAAAAAAAAAATAAAAAAAAAAATCTTAAAAAATGTTTAAATTATTTAATTAAATATAAATATTGAATATAAAATAATATAGTAATTATAATTAGATATGTTATCTTTTGTATTTTAATTATAAATAAAAAAAAAAAATTCTATTAAAAATAACAAATGTTAAAAAATATATGTAATAAAATAAAATTTTAAAAATATTTAAAATAATTAAAAAATATAAGATTAAAATTTAATATATAAATAAAAATTAATAATAATTTAATATATAATAAAATTAATAATAATATATATATATAATAAAATATAAAATATATATATATATATATTTATTTATTTATTTATTTATTTATTTATATTTATCTTTTTATTATATTAATATTTTTTTTATTTAATACATAAACTATATATAATTTTAACAAATATTAAAAAAAAAAAATTATAACATTATATTTTTTATAATGTAGTTTTTTTTTATTTTATTTTTTCTTTTCATTATAAATATAAAAAAAATATAACATATATCACCATCCAGCTGGAAAGTTTGAAACTTGTGTCTAATTAGTATTCTTTTTATTTATAAATAAATAATTAATATATTTTATTTTATCTATTTAATTATTACATTAATTCCTTTAATATTATATCCAATTTTAATTTTAAGTGCAATTCCTTTTTATCCTTAAACCGTATTTTCAATTGTCATACTCTTGTATAATTTATTATAACATAATTATAATAAAAAAATATTAAACCTAAGTAGTTTATCCTTAAGAATAAGGAGGAACAATAGTATTATTAATAGCTTACATATTAAGATTTAAATGTTTAAGAACAGCAACTAAAAATACAATATCAGTAAGATTTTCTCCAGTTTTATTATTGAAGAAGCTTTAAATAGTTATAACGTTCCCATTCTAAAATAATTATAATATATAAATTCTAGTAATATATAATTTACCTTAGTACACTTAAATAATAATTCTAAATTATTATCAGAATAAGCAGTAAACTAATGAACTGCTTAATTATTAACAGTTGGCTGTTAGGTTACTTGAGCAGGAACTGCAGGTTGTTAGAAAAAGTTATTTTATCCAAATCCTTAACTTTATTATAAAGCATTTCCATTATTAGTTGTATCTCCGCCGTATAAATCAAGTAAATCAAGAGGATTAATAGAATTTTATTATTATTATTATTACTATTACTATTACTTTTACTATTATTATTATTATTATTAAGGTTATGTAGTACTATCCATTAAATCCATCAAATCTAAAGGATTATTATTATTAGCTGCGTTTAATTACGATTAGCCTCCTTATTTATCAATAGTAATTAATTGAGTATTTCCTTAAACAACCGAGGCAGGGAATTCTTCTTAATCAATATCTCCAATAGGCTTTCTTAATTTATTTATAAAAACATATTTTCAAAAAAAAAAAAATTATTACTTTTAATATTAATCAATAGCCTATTAGAATCCAGGAATAGGTTCTAAAATAAGCTTTCTGTTTTCATCCCATATGCATTCTATAAGTTTAAGATATTCACATGACCTTTTTTACACTTCTAAAGATGTAGATGTTGAAAAAGATTCAATTAAATCAACAATTCTACCTTAAGAAGAAGGAAATTTAGTATAAAGTTTAATTAAAGCATTAAGACCATATTCTTTTATATAATCAGGAAGTTTCATTCTTTCAAACAATTTCTAAAATAAATCTAAAACTTCATCTTCTGTTAAAATAATTTTCTTATCTTCATTTGCCACAGGAGTTCCTCTAATTAATAAATGTCCGAATTCTCCTAAACAATAAACAGCAGCTTTTGCAAGTCCATTTTAATTTATATTCTCACCAAGGGAAAAGTATAATTTGTGTACTGCGTAACTTTATAATTCAGGAGAAATAGAAATTAAATGAATCATATTGTTTGTCGATTCTTCTTTTATGTAGTTTCCTGCTAATGTTAATATTTTAATTATAGTATCAATATGCCATCTTCTATTAGGTGAATGCTTATCTACAATAGCGCAAATCTACAAAAAAAATATTATATTAATAAAAATAAATATTATTTTACTTTATAAGTCATTTCTCTTAGGAAATTTTCATCTGTAGCAGCTAATAAATAATTAAAAAGTTCTTTAATAATACTAGTAACATTAACTTCATTAGTAATAACATAAATCAAATCCAAAGCCAATTATTTAACTGAAATATCACTTTCTTTCATGCAATCCAAGATTGTTTATTTATGTTTTTAAACAGCATTAATGTCAAAATTGACTACTTATTTTAGCAAATATAAAGCACAATATTTACTATTATAATCTTTTTATGATAAAAATTTTCCAAGAATGTTAATTCCTAAAGTCTTTAAATGACTACTACTCTCAGTTTCCATTATAGTCTATACACATTCATATAAAACTGCATTTCCTGTATTTTTGTTATTAGTAATACTTCCTGCTACATTTGCTAGAATGTCTGATATTTCTTCTGATACTTAAGTATCCCCTTTTCCCATTATACGGAAAAACTTCAATATTTTCATTTATAAAAAAGGATCAATTACACCAGATATATCAAAATCTGAATCATGATTTGTCAATAGACCTTTTAATACTTTTACAAATATGGGCACGTATTTCTTAAATTTATCCTTATATTAAATATCATGGTTAATTATTTCTTCAATTAAACCCAATGTTGCTAATAATACACCTTTTAATTTTATTTATTTAAATATTTATATATTATATTTTATTTAAAAAAATAATATTCATATTAATATTTTTTAAAAAAATATTACCATGATGACGATCTTCCATTAAATTATTTATTTTTTCAACTATATCAGGAATATGGTCAGGTAGCTTTTTAATTACTTTAGCAGCTGCCAAAGGTACTTTTTTACGGACAAAAGAGTTTCCATTTTACATTATTTTTAATATATTTCCTATTAGTTCTCTGCACATGTCTGTTGTACATATTTCGCTTACTGCAATGATAGCTAAGCTTATTACATAATTGTTCTATTTTTTTATTAATATATATATATAAATATATATATAAATATATATATATATATATATATATTTTATAAGAATATAATTTTTTTATTATTTATAAAAATAAATTTTTAAATTAATTATATTTTTTTTTAAATAATATATAAAATATTTATTTATTTTAAATATATAACTATATCATTCATATTTATCATTATAAATAAAAAAATAAATTAAAAATAAAATTGGATTTTTTTTAAAAGAAATATTTATTTTAATATATATTTATATCTAAAATAAATATATTAATATTTACTGAACTATTTAAATCTTATAAAAGTCTCGATGTTGCCATTAAAAGTACATCAGATTATTCATGAAAAAGCTAAGTAAGTCCTAAATATCCTATTCTTTTTTCAGTAAAAGATGAAGCAGAAATTAATTTCAAACATTCCATTTATCCGAAATCAGTATTATGCCCAAGCATATTAATAAATAATAATTTGGCAACGTTTCTAGGTCTATATTCTTCTTCGTTATTCTTTTATTTTAATTATTTTATTATAAATTTAAAAAATAAATATTTATTATACTTTAAATGATTCACGAATTAAGGCTTTTTCTTTTTATACTACAGAACGTTCTTCTGCTGCTGTCTTGCATTCTCTAATTGATTTTATAAAATCTCTAAGTTTTTACGGGTGATCCTTTGTTGTCATTTTTTATTGTTTTTATTTTTTATTTATTTATTTTTATTTATTAATTTTTTTTTTTTATTTATTATTTTTTTCTTTTTTTTATATTTTTTTAGTTGATTTAATTATTATATATTTTATTTTATTTTTCTCTATTTGAATATTTATTAAATAGGATTTACTATATGTTATATTTATTGATTTTTTTTACAATAAATTTTTTATATTACTTTACATTAATTTTTTATATATTATTTTTTTAAATATTACAAATCTTTTTTAAAAAAATTATATAATATATTAAAAATATAAATATAGATTAAAACTTTATACAAGTATTATTTTAATTTTATTTGTATAAACACAAGTAAATTAATATGAAAAAATAAATATGTTATAATTATAAATAATATTTTATTTTATTTTTAAATAATTAAAAATACCCTTACAAAAATATATAATATTAAAAAAATATATTATCAAATAATCAAATTTATTTTTTTAAAAAAATTATTTTAAAATTATTAAATTAGAAACATTATTATTTAAATCAATATATTTTTTTATTGTTAGTATTTTTTAAATTTAATAATTTACAAATTTTTTTATTAATTTAAATAAATATAATATTTACTATATAAACTAACTTTTCTAAATAGTTTCAATTTTATAATATAAATATTTTTTAATATATTAAATTTACTATGTCCTTTATCAATTAAAATAAATAAATAATATGAATTTATATAATTAACAAAATTAATTTATTTTGCTCATTTAAATTAAAAATTAACTTTTTTTTGAAACTTTTTCTCTTAATTAAGATAACTATTATTTTTTAAAATAGGTCTTATTTCAAATATACTTTTATTGTAAGAAAGATTTACTTAGTCTTATAAAGAATTAGAACTTTAAAAATTTTCATTATATTATTACTTATTAAATTATTTTTATTTAAAAATATTTCTTTTGTCAATAGAATAAATATCATCTTCATTATTAAAAATAATTTTTTTGTCTTGTGTTTTTTTATTATTTTAAAATTAATTAATTAAAATTTAATCAATTTAATCAATTTCATCAAATTTAATTTAATTTATTCGTATTTATGATTTATTTTCTTATTTTATATTACCATATTTTATTGTTTAACTGAGTTCTCAATTTTATTTAACATTTCTTATATTTTATCATTCTTTTTTCCACATAACCAATCAGTAATACATTCAAAATCATAAGATTAATTAATTTATTATTTTTTTACTAAATCAATATCTTAAAATTTTTTATATTAAATTAAAGAATCTGAATTTATTTAATATTTTTAAGGATATAAAACACTTTCAGAGGCTTATAAAAAAGTATTTTTTTGCATATTTTTAATACTATTTATTTATTGATTTAAAAATATTATTTTATTGGTTTTTTTATTTAAATATTATCAAATTATACTAACTTTTTATAGTATTAAAAACTAATAAATACTTTTCAAATATATTATTACTAATATACTGTATTAATAATAATTAATTTATATATTATAGTTAATAATTAATATAAAAACTTAATCTCAATTACATAAAAAACATTTGTTAAATTTCATAATTTAATTAATAAATTTATAATGAAAGCGATGAACAAAAATATAAAATTAAATCAATGTTATAACAATTTTGAATTAGGAATAAATTAATTTTTAATTTAGTTAATTTTCATAAAAAATAAAAAAATATTATTAGATTCTTGATTAAATAAAATAATTATTTTAGTTAAGAGAACTTATATAATTGTTATTATCTTAATTATAATTTTTTTCGTTAAAGTTAATAAATAAATTATAAATTAAATTATTAAAATAAATTTCAAGATTAGATATTAATGTATTTAAAACAACATATATTTAATCAAATTTAATTTATGATTATTTATAAAATTAATTAAGTTTGATTAATTTGAAGTTTTTATAATTAAAGTTTAATTATTACACACTAAATATATGAATTTTTTAATTTTTTTAATAAATATATTTATATTATATTAGAATAAAATTTAAATATATTAATTTATTATAATATTTACATTTTTTTTTTTTAAATTATAAAAAATTATAAAATTTCTAAAAAATTAAATACTTTCATTAATAACAAATTATAAATATTTTTTTTAAAAAAAAATATATATAATTATAATATAAATTACTCAAATATTATGTTTTTTTTTAATATATTTTTAAATTCATTTTTAATAAAATAATAAAAACATATTTCATATATAAAAATTTATATTTGCATTTTCATATTATGAATTATATTTTTTTTAATTATTTAGATTATGAATAACTATAGCGTCTTAAAAAATTAAAATTAAATTTTTAATAATAACATTAATTAAATAAAATTAATATATTTTATAATATTATCTAAAATTTATATACTTTAAATATATTTTTATAATTTATTATCTAAAATTTAATATCTATAAATATTACATTTTTTTGATTATAACTTAAAATAAAAAAATATTACTTTTTATTTAATTTTAAAATCAATTTTTAATTTATTTTAAAAATATCATATTTTTTTTTATTAAATAAGTCTTATTGCATACGAAAAATATAAATGTAATGTTTATATTATTTATTATTTTTAAAATTCGTTTATAATATTTATTATTTTTAAAATTCGTATATATTTTAATAATAATTATACCTTTAAAACTTTTACACATTAGTTTTTTAATAAATAATTTTATTTAAGCTTAATATTATAAATCATAATGGTAAATAAATAATAAATGATATTAATTTTTTATTAAAAAAAAATATTATTCATTTTTTTATATAAATTGATATAAATATAAACTAAACAAATTTTTTTTTTTTAAGCTATTATTAAATAATAATATTAAAAAAACTTTAATTTTTTGATTTAAATTATAATATCAATTATATAATTTAAAAAAATATATTTATATTTAAAAAAAAAAAAATGGCTAAAATAATTGATAATTTTATACTTCTAGAAACAATCGCTCAAGGAACATTTGGTGAAATACATAAAGGTAGAAATTTAATATCAAAAGATGCTGTCGCAGTAAAAACAATATAACTAGAGTAATTTTTGAATGATTCATATTTACGTGAAATGATAATAAATGAAATCTAAACATTAAAAAAGTTGGATGACTAAAAAATTATTCGAATGATAAAGATGTTAAAATCATCTAATAATATATATTTAGTGTACGAATTTTTACAAGGTGAAAGTTTAAAAAAGATAATTCTAAAAAGACAACAATTAAATGAAAAAGAAGCATTTTAAATATTCAAATAATTAGTCCAAACCTTTAAAACACTCCAAAAAGAGAAAATAATAAAATAAAATTTAAATTCATTTAATATAAACATAAATGAGAATCTCGAAATAAAATTAAAGAATTTCTTCGTATGCAAAACACTAAACCAAAACGCAGTTTTTAATAAAAAATTTGATTCTTTTTTACATCAAAATTTCCATTACATTGCCCCTGAATTACTCATTCCTTCTACAAATAATAATAACGATTTTTCTAATGATGTTTTTAGTTTAGGAGTAGTACTCTATGAAATGCTTTTTGGCACACTTCCTTTCGAAAAATATGCTAATTCTAAAGAAGATTTAATCTCATTTTACTAAAACAATAACATTTTAAATATTTTGTAATAAGATGTTAAACTTTTGAGTGAAAAAATGTCTTTTTTAATTACTAAAATGATCACTTTGGAACCTGAGCTTAGGATTTAATGGTAAAATATAAATGAAATTATACAAGAACAGCCTTAGTAATTATAATCTCCTCCTCCACACCCTACTCCTCCTTAATAGCATTAATAAATATAGGAAGAGGAGTAAATACAAAGAAAAACTTAAACAAAAGTATAATAATAAAATAATTCCAATTCAAAAGCAGAGAAAAAATCTGATAATCTAAAATAATTACTTTTGGATAATATAATTGAAAAACGTTCTAAAATTTAGATACTTTTAGGGGCTTTAGACTTTTTAATGGATTAGGACGAATGGGAAATTTCTATTTGCAATATCTATGTTTGTGGATTTATTTTGTTAAAAAAAGCTTTTGCTTTTAGTTAAGTTTTAGTAAATTTAGTTGATGAAAAATCTCTCAAAATCAAATAAAGCATACTAAAGGAAAATCAAGAAATTAAAAATTCATTCTTTAAATTTAAAGAAGATTTCTAAGAATTTTTAAATGCATTTAATGATGTTGATAATGATAGTGTACTTTTTGATGTTTCTAAAGAGCTTTCTGCTTAAACTAAAAGTAGAAAATAGTTGATTTTGGCTCATTTTTTAGCTGATATTGCTTGTATAGACATTATGTATACCAAATTTTTGGGAAAAAAAAGATTAGATACACTCAATCATCCTTATTTTAAAAAACTCAATGAAATTTCCCTTGATAAGCTCCTAGAAAACTTAGAAAATAAATTTAAATTATATGAATATCACAGAAATGAATGAGAATTAAAATAACTATTTTATATAAAAAACTTTTAAAATTAAAAAATATTTTTGTTTTTATGTATTAAAAATAATATTTAAAATATACAAAGGGAAATATATTAATATAAATTTTATTTTTATAAAATAATGATATTCAATGAATATTTTTAATTAAAAAATTTAAAAAACCAACTTAATTATTAGTTTACCATTTTTAAAAATTATGAATGTAAGTAAATAATTAATAAAGAAATTAATATATTATATTTAAATAATATTTTTAGAAAAAAACAATTTTATATTATAAATATATATGAATATAAAAAATAATTAGAAAGTACACACATATAAATAAAAAAATATATTACTTATATTACTCAAAATCCAAACTTTTTTGCAATAATAGCACTTGGAAGATTATCTGCCATTTCTTGAAAATCAAATTCTACCAAAATTAAAGACCCATCTTAATTTTTTTAAGCACAAATAACAGGTTTGTTAAATTGTTTAACAATAAAAGAATCAACACGCTCTTCATTTTCCTTCAAAAAAAAACAGTATTTAGGTGATTATTTTTTCAAATCAACTGAACAAACAGAATCAAAAGAAAAAAGAAGAAGTCTTTTTTTAATATTAGGATGTTCTAAACACCCAAAAAGTACATTTTATCTAGAAAGGAAGCTTTTAGGAATTTAATTAAGTTAAGTTTTTGTCCATTTACTTAATTATTTTTTCTCAATATTAAATAACCCAAATGTCCTATTAGAATAAGTTACACAAAGGAATTTTTAAAAAACAACATTAAAAGAAATAAAAGAAAAATCATTTTAGAAAAGCATTTAAATTTCATAAAGTATGTTACCAGTTTTTGTGCAAATTTAAACTATTTTATTATTCATTTTTGAGCCCAAAAATACACTTTTATCCTAAGGTCCAACCAAAAGATGCTCGCAGTTACCAAAATAAGCTTAATCTAATTGACATAACCTTTTTTTTTTTTAACTTTCTGTAAATAAAATATTCAAAGTGTTCCCTTTTTAGACGAAAAATAGTTTTTTAGAGTCCTATTTAGTAAATTCCATCAAGAATGCAGTGTCGAAAGTGCAAATTTATTTCAATTTTTCATTTTTACTTCCAAATTCGAACAAATAGCTTTCACTTGAAGTCGAATAAGCTAAAAGTTTTTCCTAAAAACTAGCTGAAAGCATACATTTTTATGTTTAAATTTAGTAAAGAAGCTAATAATTATTATTAAAAATATCGAATTCCCACAATTCGATTGTAAAAGCTTTCAAAAGAAGGCAATAATTTTGTTAAAAGAGAATATATTTGGTCAAATTTTGATTTAAACTTACAATATGTTTAGTTTTTCCTTAAAAATATCCATCTTCATCTAAATTATAAATAGCAAAGTCGGTTGTTATTCCTACCGAAATTAACTTATTTTCATTTAATAATTCCAAACCTTTAATATCATGGGATTATCCTCTTTATTCACTTATAAATGTCCATTCATTTTATTAATTTTTTTTAAAAGCTGCTATTTTGGAGTCAGCACCAGTAACATAAAATACATTTTTTTCGAAATTATATAAAATACAATTAATATCTTCTTCATGCTTTTAAAAAGATCTGAATAAAGTGCCGAATTAAGTTTCAAAAATTAAAACACGACCATCACTACATCCTGCAATTAATTAATTTTGTGAAATGCTTTTTATTTTCCAGGCTATTGTTTTCATTTTCTTTTAATTTTACTCACTTACACTCATTGTATTTATGACATTTTTCTACGCATTAAATTTTCGGATTTATCCAGATTCATATGAAGCATAAAACTCTTCAGAATTCATAAAATCATATGTTACACTTAAAGCTCTATATTTTTTATTTTTATTTTTATTATTTTTTTATTTCTATACCTTTCATCAAAGTTACGTATTTATTAAGTCTATGTAATTCGAGTGTTTATTTCTTCGTTTATTTGAAAAGCTCGCAAATATCCGTCTTCATTTGCTGTTAAAACTTCTCCTGTTTTTAGGTTTTCTTCTATTCCCCAAATGTAACCTCCAGGAGTATTCAAAGTATGTTTGGGAAAAAAAGAGTTTAATGTAAGCAGTATAACAGAACCATTTTAAGTAAATACTAATAAATAAGGAAATTCTTGATCGGAAGATTTTTAAAAAAGAATATGGGTGGGATTTTCGTTTTTGTTTAGTTAATATTTTTATATTTATGTCCATGTTTGAATTTCCCAAATTTCTACTGAACTGTCAGATCTAGATATTGCTATGTAGGATTTTTGGGAAAAAGTAGATTTAGTTATGCTTGTGATTTATTATGGGCATATATTTAAAAACTTTATTACATGAATGTTAATTTTATGCTTTTTGATTGGGACTGTAGATTTTTTGGGAGAATTTTTGGATCTTTTTTAGATTTGTTTTTTATTTTTGGAACGTTCATCTTTATTTTAATATTATATTTTTGGTTTTTTATTTTTTTAGCTCTTTTAACTTATATATAATATATCTTTTATTAATTAAAATTTTTTATATAAATTATTTAGGGACAATAACTTATTAATTTTTAAAATTTATAAAATAAAATTACATATTGATATTAATTTAAAAAATTATATATAATATAAAAATTATATATATTTATTTAGTAAAAATAAAAATAACAACTTAAGAAAATTATATTTATGTAATAATCAAATAAAAATTCATCTATTAATAAACATTATAGTTTAATTTTAGTTTTAAATTTGATTAAATAATTAATAAATATATATAATTTAAATTCTTCTTAAATAAAAATATTTTGTAAATATTTAACAATATTTTTTATTTTACATAATTAAAAATATCTTTTGGTATAAAATAAATTTGTCTCATTTTAAAGTATTAAACATTAATTTTTATAAAACTTTATAAAAAGCACAAATAAAAATGATTGTTGAAAAATATAAAAATACAAAAACATATAATAAATATTATTAATAAAAAGAATAACATTTAAATTAATTAAAAAAAACAATTAAAAATAAAAAAAATAAAAAAAGTTTTAAAAAAATAAGAAAAAACAAAAGAAAATATAATGAATTTGTAATTGAATTCTAGTGTTTCTTCATCTGAATATGTTTCTTTTGATTCGCCTATTTAATCACCTAAAACATCGTATTTTTTCCCATGCTCTCATAAAAAGAAAATAAAACATAATTCTAGAACTAATTGTTTCGATTGCGGAATATGCGTTTATACAAATCATCAAGCATACAAGACAAATAAGATGAAATATGGATTATATTTTGATCCTAATAAAATATATTAATCATTATCAAAATAAAGAACAAAATAAATAAATATAGATTAAGAATCAGAATATGCAAAAGTAAAAATTGATAAAAAAAAAATATTTATTTTTCTAAAATAAAAAAAGTGCAGAAATCAACTAATAAATTTAATATAATTAATTAGTGATAAATTAGATCTATCAATAAATACAATACATTTAGCAATTTTTTATTTAGATTTTACTTTAAGTAGTTTAGAAAATATTAATTTAAACATAAATATGTATTAAATATATGCAGCAGTATGTGTAATGTTAGCAGGTATTTATAGATTTTTATAAATAATATATATATAGTTAAAAATAAATATATATAAAAGCCAAAGCAATTGAATTAGATAAAAAAATACCTTTCATTACAAAACTAAAAAAATATAGTGCTATTTCTGAAGGAAAAGTATAAGATTTTAAAACTGTAGAATTTAATATATTAAGATTATTTGATTGGAATTTATAATGTGTTACTTATGTTGATTTTATTTAATTTTATTATTCTTAAGGAATTGTATTTTCTGATGATTTTATTTACGTTGATGATGAAAATGTGTTAAAAGAAAAAATAAATTAGGATGATGATATTAAATGTAGAGGAAAAAATATTTATTTTCCTAAAAAAAAATAAAAAATAAAAGACGTTAGTCATGATAAAATTTTTAATTTAATTTAAAAAATTGAAAATGATTAAAATTCTCTCTCTAATCTGTTAATAAAAGGCATTAAAAATATTTTTTTTTATATATACAAAATATATTGTTTAAAAAGATTATAAATTTTATAAATTTGATTTAAAAATTGTTGCAGCTTCAAGTATTGCTTTTTTGAGAAAAATTAATGGAATTTCTCCTGTTTGGAATAGAAAATTAACTAAAATAAGTAACTTCCAAATAAATGAAGATTCAATAAAAGATTGCTTAACTTTTATTGAAAATAAACTTCAGATAAGTCATTAATAGAATTAAGAAAGAAATAATAGTATTAATCATAAATTAAAGCAAATTAATTATTTATAAAATAAAAATAATATCATTAATTTCAATCCTCATTATTATTCGTCAAAATGTAAATAATCAATCAATAACATTACTATTAAAAATAATGTGGAGTTTTCATATAATAATATGAAAACTTAAATCATAATAACAAATAATTATAATAATAATAATTAAATTACTTTTAATCCAATTTATAATTCTAATTTATAAAGTAATTTTATTCTATAATAAAAAACTTTAAAATGAGTGAGTTAAATTAAACTTTGACCTAATTTATTATATTATAAATGTATAATTAATATAAAATAAAATTTATTTTTATTTAAAAAATATGCAATTTGTAATATTAAAAAATTTCTCAATTTTTTATATAATTATTTAATAAAAAATATATTAATAAAATAAATAAGATTTTTTTTTTTTTCTAAAAATAAAAATAAATTGTAAATGAAAATTTTGTATATTTATTAAATACTAATTAATTATTTTTTATAATATATTTTTTAATTACGAAAAAAAAAAAAATATTAAAAATATTAAAAATATGGATTAACTCATCAATTTTTCATCATAATTCCCTCCAATAAAATAAATATTTAAATTAGTATAAGCAGCAACATTATTAAAAACTCCATTAAATTCTTAAATTTTTGACAAAGCATTTGAACTTGCAGAGAAAAACAATATAAAAGAATATATAGATATATAGAGAGCACAGCATAAGATTTTAAGGCTTTAAATAGGAATTTCAATTCTGCTGATTTTGAAAAAGATTTTATCTATCAATAATAAATCGATAAAATTTAAAAAGATATTAATCTATATAAAAACTAATAAAATAAGCTTCTTCTGGCTTATCTTATATTGAATTAGGTACTTTTATTTTTAAAATATTAATTTTCATAAAAATAGGAAATATTTATTTGAAAGCCGGAGATTTAACTAATGCAAACAGAAGTTATGAAAAAACACATAACTATTATGAAAGTGGGTAAAAAAAAATTATATATTATTTATTAAAATAAAAAAAAGTGAAAAACTTAGTTATACGCCTTAATGGAGTGCATGCATGTTAATAGAGAGAAGATATGACTAATTAAAAAAAATATACCGAAAGAATAAATGCCAACAGAAAGAAGTAAAGAGAATAATACACACAAGTTTTATTATTTTAGGCTTTACGTTGTTTATATCAAGGAGATATAGGATCTTTTATGGATATATTATTGAAAGAAATAGAAAACGAATATATTGTAGAAAATGAAATATTATTAATAGCAACATCATTAAATGAAATAGGTAAATTATATTTTTATGAAAAAAAATCTAAAAAAAAATAGGATTGTATACTACTATGTGTTTATTAATGAAAAACGATAAAAGATAAATATAAGAAATTCTGAAAAACGAGACTATTAGATTTTTTTTGACTTAAGATAATATATATTTAGACACAATAGAATGTTTTGTTAATCTAGATTACACAGGATTGATGTAAAGATTCAAAAATATGTGTATTTAATATGAATCTGATTTTATCTTTAAAAGATATAATTTTTATAATATTATTCTTGATAAAATTTTCAAACAATATTTACTTCCTTATAATAAAATTAGTGTAAAAAAAGTTCTCTAAACTCTTCTTTTAATGAGGATGTTGGAATAGAATTTATTAAAAAACTTATTAAAAGTAAGTCTATTAACTTCCTTTATGATCCTATTGAGGATATACTTATACAAAGGATTACAGAATAAACTAAAAAATATGACACATATGTTAAGGCTGTTAATACTATAAAGAAGTATTTATTAAAAAAGCAAATTGCAATGCTAAAGTATTAATTAGGATTTATTATTTAACAAAACTAAAATAAGAACGATAAAAATTTCGATTTTAATTCTAATATAGGAAGTATGATGGAAGAAATTTAATATAATTTGTTAGGAAAATGAGAAAAAAAAATACATTTAATATTAAAATAAATAAATGAAATAAAAAGAGTTTATTTTATTTTTTTGCGTTTTTTCTTTTTATATTTTAATTTTTATAACAGAGAAAAATATTATGTTGTTTATTTATATTCTAATTAAATAAATATTAATTAAGAAAATATACAGAATAATAATATATATATATATATATAATATATATATATATATATTTATACTTATAAATCCATAAATATATATTATAATATTTATTAAAATATATATTTAATTATACTTTAAAATATATATTTAAATATTTATATCTAATTAGTTAACAATTTTTTTAATAAAAGTTTCATTTTATATCAAAATTCTTATGAATATTCATTATTTTTTTAATATTTTTGATTATTTATTAATTTTTTTTTATCAATTTCAAGTAATATGTTTTTAGTTTTATTTAGAAATTTATTATTTTATATTTATATTCATATTTATTTTTAAAAATGATTATTTCATAACATTCTTTATTTTACGTACAAACCATATTTTTTTTTCTTTAAATTTGTTTTTTTTTAAACTTTATAAACATATTTTAATATTATACATAAATCTATTTATTATATATTTTTAATTATAATATATTTAACTATTTATAATAATATAATTTTGAATTTTTTAATCTGTTATTAATACACTATCTAGTTAATTTAAATAAGCTCTTATTTTATCTATTTTATTAATTAATTTGTTTTATTTTTTTTTATTTATTTTTATTTTATATTATTTGATTAAAATTTTTCATTTTACTATTTTTTTTTTTTAAGTGATAAGTTGCTCGAGGACATAATTGTAAAGAAAAATAAATAAAAATAAAACCTGTATTTATTTATTTTTTATATACAATATTTTTCTGATATCTCCTGGTTTATTAAAATATTTAAATAATAATTTTTATTGATTAAATTTTATTCATAAAAATCATATATTTTAAAAAATAAATTTAATATTTGTAATTTAATGATAAATGTATGAAAAATATATATAACAAATAATAAAAAGAATACATTTTTCTATAAATAAATAATATTTTCGTTTGATAAAAAAGAAATCAAATCAAATTAATTTCTTAATTTTAATCTTAATAAATTTTTTAATTAGAACTTTCTATTTTAAAATTATCTAAATCATAGCTTTTCTTGTAAAAGGGAGAACAATTAGTAATTTCTTCAGAATATTTTTTTATAATCTAATCTTAATTAGTTTCATTTCTTTACTAAAAAAAAGGTGATTTTTTAGTCTAAATCTCATCATATTAAATAATTTTGCTTTCTTATTAAGGTTTTATCATCGAATGAAGTCGTTCTTCTTTTTTTAAATGAACGAAATTCGAATATATACTAAAATATATTTTAAACCAATTTTAATTTAAATACTCACTCTTTATAGCATAAGGACCTAACGTTTTTACTGTTTCTTCAATTACTTTATTACTTATCTCATCAAAAAATAATTTTTTTATATTTTTGGCATTTTCTTATTAATTAGAAGCATTTTCTAATTCAATAATTTAAACATCAATTTCAAATTTTATACTAGGATGTGCTTACTATTAGCTGCATTTAGTTGAAGTTGAATTAATCGGAGATAACTAATTATTACTTTCTAAACTTATAATGAAGCTTATTTTTCCTTACTTAATTGAATTAATTACATTTGAAAATATAATAATAAGTAATTATTTAAGTCTCCTTTCATCGGAGTTTGCTTTATTAAATTTTCTAAGTTCATTTTTATGAGCGAATTGAATATCTTTTAACTTGCATTAGGTCTAAAACATAGAAACTAAGTCCCAAATAGTTTTTTTAAATGAAAACATGTTTTCTTTAATTTATATACCTTTTTTTTCCTATAAGGCAAAAAAATCAAATATTGTATATATATGATTCATTAGCAAATAAGTATTATATTTTACTTTTTCCACACTTTCATCAATTCTTTATTAACAATTTTCTTCTTATACTTATAGGCTTAAATTTTCTATATTTTCTATTATAGGAACTAAGTTTACCCTTAAATGATTTAATGTTGATAATAAAAGACAATCTGAACTCTTTTTTTGCCTATAACTTTGTTTTATTTCATCTTTATAAGATATGTCTTCAATACAAATTACTGTTACAATGTCATTTAGTTAAAAATTATTGATTTTTATTCTAAAAATTTTACTATATTAAGAAGTTTCAAGTATATTGTGATAATATCCAACAATAATTTCACTTTCGAAACCTTTTTCATTAGTTGATTTACATCTTTTTCTTTTTGGTTAATTATTATTAGTGTTAATTGTACTTAAAGTTTCCATTGTTTTCTTTTTTTTAAGTCGAATTTCATCGAAATAAAGACATCTTCGGATCAAATAATCTTTTAGAGTTAAATCTTTGTTATGGATAAGCAAATTATACTATTAAATATAAACTTAACAACTAGATATATCAATTTTAATTTTATTATAAAATTCTTTCATTTATTCACTTGTTTAAATTTTAAATTTACTTTATAAACTTCCTATTTTTTAATAAATAAAATAATATATATTAATTATTTAACCGCTCGTTTTAACAAACTCAAGTGTACATAATCGAGAATTCCATTTAGACATAATCAAAGAACTTGTAAACATATTGTCTATAATATTTGCCCATTCACTATTTTTGTTATTTTCTAAAAATTTAATTCGTTCAATTCTTTCACGGAAATATCTATTTATTGTTACAGAAATTGGAAAAAAAACAAAGATAAGAATTGATTTAGTATCTAAAATTATGTATTAAGCAAAAAAACTACCAAGTATAGTTCTATTTAATGTTATTATCAATATATCTAATATAAAATTACAAGAATCGATAGAAAATGTTTACACATAAAATAAAACTTCATGGCTTAATAATATTTTTATTAAGTTTTCGTTATTTAATAGGTTTTTTTAATTATCCGCTTATATACTCTTATTAAAATATTAATAGTTCAAACCTATTTATCCTATTTATAATAATATATTCCAGAATAAATGAAAAAATAATAAATATCTTCCAAATATGAAAAATGAACATATGAATCCAATAACTAATATACCGTATATTGATGCTGAAATTAAAACTGTTTAATTCATTTCTATAAAAGTAGAGTAATTAACGAATATTAAAATACTTTGTATTAAAAAAAACGATATTGTGTATATATAAAGTATTTGTAATTATGGAATTCTGTGATTCTAATATTTAATTTCTAACTCATTTGTTTTGAATTTTAACGTAAAATAATTTATATATTTCTAATACATTTAATGCTATAGTACTTTTTTATTTTTTGGTATTTTAACTTTATTTAATAATTAAAAAATAATAAATATTTTTAAAATTAATTTAAAAATGTGTATGATTGTTTTTTAATTAATGGTTATATATTAATAATATTTTAAAATAATATGTTTATAAACAAACTAATTTTAATAAAATTTTAAAATGCTAATTTTATAACATATTTTTTTTTTTAATATTTTGATTATCTTATAAATAAAAACAAAAACATCTATATTAAAAAATAAATAGTATTAAAACAATAGGTTTTATAGGTTTTATTTTAAAAATTAAAATTCTAATTATTATAAACTAATATATAAAGTTGTATTGGACATAATAATAAGAATAATAAAAAATTTATATAAAAAAACATTTTATTGTTATTTATTAATTAAAACAATGCAAGTATTTTTATTGATAAAAATAATTTAATTAAAAAAAAAGATCTCGAAATCATATATATACACTGAGCATAATATAAAAACTCTTTTATTTATTTTTTAAAAGAGATATTATATTTAAATCCGGAAAGAAAACTTGATTATATATGATTAATTTAAATAATCTTTTTTTTATAAAAAAATAAAATACATTTATATATACAAACAAAATAAAAAATTGAATAAAAATAATAATAATAAAAAATAAGTATATTTATGATTCAAACCATCTATTAATTTTATATTTGCTTTTTCTTTTCTATTTGATTAAAAGCATATCCTGTATTACCATATTTGCTTCCTTTTCCTTTTCTTGAATTTAAAATAAAGCCTTATTTATTATTAGCTTTTACATTAATGCAAGCTTGTGCTTTAAGAAGATATTATTTGGCTTAAATATTAGTTTCATATTTTAAAGGTAAGCTTTTTTCAATTTCTGTAACACTATTATAATTCCATTCTTTACTCATTATTTATAATAATTTAAAAAAAAAAAAAATACTTTAATATAAAGACAAAGCCCAATCAAAAAACGATGTAGCAGTAATAGCTAGAATATTTCCTAGATGAAAATTTACTGTAAGGAACATTTACCCTATAGTTCTATAAATTTCAGTAGTATTAATATTACTTATAACTACCCAAGTAATTAAATAAGAAAACATAGATCCGAAATTAATAACAAGTGAACCTAAAGAATGCTCATTAGACATAATAAGAATTTTAATATTAGAAATAACTACAATTAATCCGAAAATCATAGTTCCACTAGCCCAAAACCATTATGAATGTCCATCAGGAGTAACAAAAGTTTATTCTAAAGAATACAAAGATATGGTAACAACAACTCCTCCTTAAATAAATGCTGAAGCAAACCAAACCCAAAATACTTTTGGATTAAAAAGTTAATCTTTTAAATATTTATTTATATTAATTTCTTATTTTTTTTATTTACTTTTCAATCCTTATTCATAGTAATTTTTTTTCTTGTTCTTAGTTAAAACATGATCGGGATATTCTTAATCATAAATTGCATATACCATAACAGGTAAAGAAGAAAAAAAAATATTAAATAATTAATAAATAAACGAATTATATAATGTTTAACCACTAAACCAATTAGTAAATCCATACCTTTATTTAAAAAAATATATAATTTATATAATTTAAATTTAAAAATACCAAAACTAAGGTAAAACCAATAAAATATTTTTAAAAAAATTATAACAAACTAATTAAGAATTTCTTCTATAGCACTCTCTTCCATGATAAAAAAGTAGTCTTCTTAAATCTTTAAATTAATTAATCGAATAATCACTTGCTCTAGCAGCCTAATTACCCTCAACTCCTTTAATTCCAATTCCAACATGTGAAGCAGTTATCATATTAACATCGTTTGCTCCATCTCCAATAGCTAAAGTTATAGCTGATTTATCATTTTCTCTTATAGTGGTAACTACTTCTTATTTTTATTTAGGTGAAACTCTACAACAAAGTACACATTTGCAATATTTGGTAATATTAAGTATCTTTTTTTTGATTTATTTAAAAATAAAAAAAATATGTTTACTAATATTTTAATGTGAGGTTTTGTTATATGTATTAAAGAATGTCCTGAAATAACAAGTGCACAATTTAAAGTTTTTTAAAAAGAGTTTTTGTTTCCATAATTATTATTATAATTTTTTTCAATATTTTTGAAATTCTCTAATGTTTCCTCCAAGAACTTTACAACTTCGTTTTCATGCTCTGAATCAATTATTGCTTTTTCTAAAGAATCATCTAATAAATTACATGCATAGGCTATATTTATTGCAGTTTCAATTTTATCTCCAGTTAATACCCAAATCTTTATTCCACTATTTTTCAAGGCTTCTATTGTTTCTGGAACTTCATATTATAATTTATCCTCTATAGCTGTAGCTCCTAAAATATTTAAATTCATCTCTAATTCATTTTATAACATTTCTATTTCTATTTCTTTATTTTCTAATGTATTTTATGCATTATTATATTTCTAAACCCATTCTAAATACTAATTTTCTTCGATTTCTCTATCTGCAAGCATTAATGTTCGTAATCCTTATGCTCCAAAATTTCTTAATCTTTCATGCAAACAATTTATCAAAGTATCGTCTGTGTCATTTCTTCTAAGATTTGATATTACTGAATCTGCTCCTTTACAAAATAAGAAATACTAAAAAAAAAAATTTTTTATTAAATTTTTTTTTTTTTTATTAAAAAAAATAAACTTTTCCATTGAAATCTTTAATAATTATAGATTGTCTTTTTCGTGTAGAATCAAACTCAAAATTATGCAAAAGCTTTGATTTATATTCTTTTTAATTAAATTTTACACAAATATTCTATTCATTATCAATTCCCATAAACTCCACTCCTGAAAACTTTGCAAAATTTATAATAGCGTATTCATCTGGAGAAGAAGCTGTATAAAAAATATTCCCAGAAGAAAAATTTGTCTATACACTATGGCAAGAAGCAAGTAAAAATAAAATATGTCTATATTTATAAATTTCTTATATATTTTTTTATATTAAAATAACTATTACATAACTTTTTCATATTCAGGTGAGTCTTCACTTTTTATAATATTCATAAATAGTCTATCTCTAAAGTCCACATTATTAACTTTAGGATAATATTTATTTATTTCTTCATCGCTTAAAGGAGAACAAAACTCATAATTTTGTTCCCCATAAATAGTATAGCCAACAGCAATCTATTTAAATTGCATTATATTTTAAGTTAATGTACCGGTTTTATCACAAAAAATATGATTTATTTATCCTAACTATTCATTTAAATTTGAAGATTAAACAGATGTATATTAAATTTTTTCATCTTAAGACATCGTAATTCCTTATATAAATTTTACCATTTCAAGAGTTACAAGTAAACTTATAGGAACAAAATTTCTTTTTAGAGGTTATATATGTTGTTATATATATAAAAATTATTTACGTAAATATTAATACCCAATTTCCAAATCTTATTAAAAAATTGTAAACAGGTTAATCTTCATAATTATCATCTGAAACCAAAATTTATAAGTATTTGAGAGAATTTCTATTGTTATGATACCAAATTAAATAAGAGCTTGAACACAATAGACATAATAAGCATTATATATAAAATATTTTAGTAATAAATTTTTCCATAAGATTTTCAACTGCTGTTTTCTTCTTTTTTACAGTTAAAATGTTGTACATAATTTTTGATTAATGACTTTTATTTTATAAAAAAAAATATAATAATAAAAAGAAATAAAATACCCTGTGTAAACGACAACTCCAATAATAAATTCCGTATTTTTTAAAGAACAACCTCTAAGAATTATATTATCAGGTCCTAGGGGTATTTTATCATTATTTTTAGCGGTAAGATATCCATTAAAAATATAAATTAAAGGCGAAGGTTTTTCATAATTAATAATTAAGCAATCTTAATGCAAATTCTCTTCACTTCTAATATGTTTATGAATTCTTTAATCAGCAAATTTTAAATCTAAATTTGTTTCACCATCTAAATTTTTCGTTTCAATATAACAAACACCTTTTTATTCAGAAGAAAATAATAAAACTGTATCTGCTGGTAAATATTTGTCTCTTCTAACCTTAATAATATGCCCGGGATGAAGTTCTTACCATGACATAAATTCAAAAGTTTTTTTTTCTTTATTATAAACTTCAATTTTCATATTATTTTCTGTTTTATCTGATTACATTCTTTTATAATCTTCGAAAAAATCTTTCATTGCTGATATTACTACTATTACAATTAAAGGTACAAATATTACTGGTAAAGCATTTGAAATCGATATTTATGGTACTGTTTACATAATTCCAATAAATAAAAAATATAAATTAGCTCTTTTCGAAAATTATTCGAAAAAATTCTTTGGAAGGAAATTTAATAATGTATATTTGTTCGTATAAATTTTGTTGTTTGGTAAATTATAATCAGGTAAACCTGTTGTTATTTTACGATCCTTTAATAAATATTTTGATATGTTTTTAGCGAATGGATTACATGATTTGCTATTGTTAGCTGTATTTTCATATTTATAATCTATTTTTTTAAAAAAGCTTATTTTTTTCTTATTTAATTATATTAATTTTACCATAACCAAATAAAGTATTACTCTATTAGTCAATATTAAGTTACTGAATTTATAATTGCATTTTTTTTATATAATTTTTGTTATTAAATTAAAAATAAGCACTTGGCTAAATTAAATAATTATAATTATTTTAATTTATTAAATATATTAGTTTTTTTAAAGTTTTAAAATATATTCATAATATAAAAAATAATTAAATTCGTGATTAAACTAAAAATATTAGAAGAATCAAAATTCATTATATTTTAACTAAAGATTATTTTTATATACTTAGTTAAATTAGTTAATAAAAATTAACTATTTCATATATTTGAAAATGAAAATAAAATACTTAATATTTATTATGTCATTTTAAAAAAATTATTCTTATAAATAATAAAAATTGCAAAAAATTCAAAAATTCAAAAAATTATTATATTATATATAAAAAGATATAATAAATAAAAATGGAATTCGAATAGTTTAATATAAAATAAAGTACAAGTTAATTAAAAAAATAAGAAATAATATTCTAAAAAAACATAAATGTAACTACATTCGGTCAAAGGCTGAACCAAATCCTGGAAGAGAATCACATTATAAGTTCAGTATTAGATATTTTGAATTCATTGTTTTCAATAATAGTAGTATTATAATGTATATTAGCAACATACGAACCTGAATAATTTGATTCGAATATATGGCAATCATTCAACTTATTTTTTACAATTTTTTTTTTATGCGAGTGGATTTTAAGAATATTTAGTTCTAAAGATAGAAAAAAATATTTTTTTAGTGGTGAGAGTTTAATTGATTTAATGTGCATAGTTCCTTTTTTTATATATAAATTATATTATATAAATAAATCAATATATTCAGATTATTTAGATAATAATTACAAACTTGTAAAAGTATTCAATTATTTAAGAATTATGCGTTTATAAAGATGTTTAATTTATATAGAAAGTGATATTGTTCGCTAATTAGCCAATATAGTCTTATCTGCAATCACTTTAATTATCCTATCTGCAGGAACAATAGAATACACCTAACATATAACAAATTTAGGTGAAAATTCAACTTATAAATAAACAAATGTTTATAATTTAAAATTTCATTATCATATATATTTCGTTATGACAACAATAAGTACACTAGGATATGAAAATGTCTTCGAAAAAAGTGAAATAAGAATTCTCATTATAGTACTTCTTATGATTGCAATTATATTAGTACCAAGCTAAGGTTCCAAATTTATAACTCTTCTCAGTAAAAAAAGTTATTATGCACGAAGAAACTACAAAGTAAAAAAAATATATATACTTGCATAAATATTTAATTTATTCAAATATAGGTCGTAGAGTCAGTTTAGCATATAGTAGTTACAGGAGTAGTTTCAGCAACTGCTGCAGAGAATTTTTTCACAGAATTATTTCATTAAGATCATGGTACTTAAGTAAAACATGCTTTATTATTAATTCCAAATCCTCCTGATAATTAATTAGAAAATATGTTAAACAATCCTAATATTATTTATATAGAAGGCCATCCTTAAAATGATTAAGATTTAAAAAGATGTCAACTAGAAAAAGCCAAAGCAGTAGTTCTTTTATGTAATAAATAAAGCTCAGATCCACATTGGGAAGATTCTCAAACAATTCTGTGGGCTATGGTGATGAAAAAATATTTAAAAACTAATATTAGATTTTGTATGTAATTTTTAAGACAATAAGGAAAAACCCATTATTATTTATCCCTTTAAGATACTTAAACTGATTAAGTTATTTGTATTGAAGAACTTAAAATGAGTTTATTAGCCAAAAGTTGTCTTTGTCCTGGACTCATTGCAGTAATTAATAATTTAATAACTTCTTCAGGATAACCATTGAAAGATTTAGAATATTAATGGCTTGATGATTATTGGAAAGGATAAGGTTTTGAAATTTACAAAGTGCCTTTAAGTAAATAATATGAAAATAGATATTTCACTTCTATAGCTTTAAGTATTTACAAATAATATAGGGCGATTATGTTTGGAGTCGAAATTGCAACTGAAGAAGGGAATCTTATATTTCTTAATCCTGGAAATTAAATTTTACCTAAAGGTTATGAAATGTTTGGGTAATTTATTTATTTTTTTAGTAAAATAGTAAAAAAAAAAAAAAATTAAAAGATATATGATTGTCGAAGACAAGGAAACTGCAGATAAAACTTATTAAACCTAGGTAAATTAGGAAGAAAATAACCATATTAACCATCAAATTGACTTAGAATAAAATTATTTATAAAAAAGCAAAAATCAATTCAATACCAATGACGAAAAAGGAAATTGCTTTTCTCCAAATATTTATAGCAACAATATAGTTCGTACTGAAGTTCCTTTAATAATATGTTAATAATTATTTTTTATTGATTTTAATATATTATTTATATAATTAAAAAAGGTAATGAATAAGAAGAAATCAACGGTTAAACAGAAAGTGAAGAATCTCAAGATGAAAAAGACGATTTAACAATAAATTTTAGACAAGAACATTTTAAAAATATAATATTTTAAGGCGAATGGAATAAAAACAGTGAAAAATGTTATGTAAATAAATCAAAAATAAATTTGAAAGGTATATAATTTAAATAAATATTATACAATTAAAAAATAAAAAGATGTGACTTTTTAATCATTAGAAAATAATATATTAGCAATCGATCATATAATAATTTGTGGTTTAATTGATAATTTTTCAAATTTTATAACTCCACTAAGGGCTAAATATTTACAGAAATACCCTACAATAGTTATATTGAACGAAATCGAGCCTAAAGAGAAAGCTTGGACATAAATATCTTTTTTTTCCGAAATATATTTTGTAAAAGGCTCTGCATTATCAGAAAAAGACCTTTACAGAGCTAATATATTAAAAGCAGCAACAATTGTGATATTATCGAGTGAATCTATATAATCAGAAAGTAATAGAATTAACCTTTCAGATGAAGAGCAAAAGAAAAAAAGCATGGAGTTGACAAAAGAATAAGAAGACATGTTAGATGCTAAAACAATTTTTAAATATAAAGCAGTGCAACGTATTCGTAAAGATATTTAAATTGTAACCGAATTTATAAATCCTTAAAATCTGGCTTTTCTTTTAAGTGAACCTAATGATTATGCTTTAATGAAAGACATGGATTTTCTCATGTAAATTGATATGATTGTTTTTAATTTTTTTTTATATAAAAATAGACTCCTATTTTTGCTTCAGGAGAAATATATATATCTTCTATGATGGATAGTTTGTCTTGTTAAGCATTTTATAACCCGGCTTTAATTAAAGTATTAAATTTACTTCTATTAGGTGATAGTAATAATAATTATTTAGTTAAAAAAAATGGTAAAAAAAATAATTTACATGAGATCTTCTATACAAAAAATAGTAATTTATTTCATATGAAAGTTCCTTAGGCTTTTATTGTAAAAACTAAATATTTTATATTTATATAGCAACAAAAAAAAGGGAAAAACTTTCGAATCTTTATTGCAATATTTAGTTAGAAAATAAGAAATTGTTATTATAGGATTATATAGGCTACCAGGTTGTAAAGATAATAAATTACCTTATGTGCATACTAATCCAGAACCTGAAACTATTTTGACATCAAAAGATTGTTGCTTTATTTTAGCTTAAAATGCTCCTGATAATAATTGTATTATTTTTTTAAAAAGTTAAAATTATTTTTAAAAACTAAGATATGGAATGGGGAGGACCTTTAGAAAAATTTGAATTTTAGAAAAATAAAAAAGAAGGAATAACTTAAAATTAAAAAAACTAAACTAAAATAATAAGTTCAAATTCCTAATTTGAAAGCAATTTCGTATTCGAAGATTTAGAAATGAATAATATAAATAATAGACAAACTGTAAAAGATAAAGAAAGAAATGCGGTCGTATAATAAGTAGCTAATATTCATGATAAACTGCAATAAATTAAGGAATAAAATAAATAATTATATGATTAAATAAATAAAAGATAAGAATTAATTTCTGTATAAATAAAAAGTGTTTTTAATGAAGAATTAAATAATTTTGCTAAAAAAAAATATTAATAAATTCATTAAAATAATGAGGATAATAATTCTGATAAATCTTCTCATAAATTAGATTTCGATTAATAAATATAAATTGATTAAAATTTACTAAGTTTAAAAACAAAATAATAATGATATTTGTTTTATTTAATATTTAAATTTTCAATAATTTATTTTGTAAAAATATATAATAATGCAAGAAATACTAAAACAATATAAAAAAAATAATTAATAAAATCCAAAGTTTGATATTAAAAAAAAATAATAAAAAAATAAAATAAAAAACTAAAATCTAAGATAAAAAAATTAATCTTAATTAAAAATGATATATATATAAATATACATAATTATATTATAATATATATATAAATAAAAATATAATGGATATCATTTAAATAATATTAAGAAAACTTAGATAATAAATTATGTATAAATAAAAGTAAAAATCAAATTAAAATAGTATAAAATATAAAAATGTAAATAAAATTAAAAGATATTTAATATATATATATATAAATATATATAATATATATATATATATATATATAA